AGGCTTATTACTCCTCGATGTTGATAGCGTTTTCTTTATTTCTCATCCTAGTTTAGTTTGTTTGTTTTTTAATGCTCGTTCACATTATCAGTTTCTACTTTCTAACCTTCAACTTATAATAAATAGTCAGAATAAATAAGTATGTAGATGGCCTGAATTTAACTTCCAAGCTTTTTGGCAGGTCATGTATGATGCTTCTGGTGCAAGACCTTATGTTGGTTGTCAGGCTGAGATAAGAAATTTCGAGTAGTAGCATTTTGTGCGTCTGTGTGAATTTATTTCTTATCAAAACTATTTACATATCTGCTAATGTTTTATAAGGGATCACTTAAAATTTTGAAGTGTTTTATATGGGCCTTAAAGTTCCAACTTAATGCTGTCTAGTCTGTAGGGCTATTAATGAGTCAATTATTTAGGTATTCGTCTTTAAACTCAGCTTAAAAATTCAAGCTTAAATTGAACTCAAAATAGTTGAGTTTGCGTTATTTGAATGAGTTTGTTCACAAGCTTGAACCAATAAGTATCTTAATTTGAATTTTGAGTTTTGTTTTTCGGAATTTCAAAATGTTTCAATAACTAATTATTTAACCATAAAATTTTCTATCTTTTTCAAAAATATTGTAGTACTAAAAACATAAACATGTTAAGTTTAGTAATTAAAAAAAAAAAATCATAAACCTCACTTAAATATTTTTATTAATAGTTATAATTAACTCAAAATTTATAATTTATTTAAATTACTTTTTCTACCATTTTAACTTTTTAAGTTATTATATATTTAAATTTAATAAATAAATATGCAATATAATTTTTAATTTTAAATTGAATATTTAGAAATAGCTCACGAGTTATCATAAAAATTCAAACTCAACTCTTTTACCAAATGAATTGAACTTAAATCAAGCTTAATTCGAATAGTTCACGAGTTATTCATAAATTATTTTATTCATCAACAACTCTACCAATTTATATGACTACTCTATTAAATTGATATCTCATTAAATATTGAAATTCTTATTTTATGATCCAAAATACACATTAAAAATGTAGTATATTTTATGAATTTATTAAAATATCTTTAATACAATAATATAAATAGTTTCATTAAAAATATTTTAATAAATTTATAAAATAAATTATATTTTTAATATATAATCTAGACTATAAAATACTTTTTTGTTAAATATTTTGTTTACATCTTATACAATTGTGTGTTTATGTAGTTACTGAATCAGATTGTTTGTGAGCTGCCTCCTGAGCACCCTCTTTCCAATTCTAGACTTCGAGATTCACTTGACCATACTCCACCTCAGGTATTTTTAGCTGTCAACAATTTGCAACAAAGCATTGGCTCTACATGAAATGATCTATCAACATTTTGTTTTTGAAATTCAACGGTTTATTTTTATCTGCTAGTTAGATTGGAATCATGGATTATACTTAGAAAAAATCATGTATAACGGTCTCAGAGCTCATGCAAAATTCTTGCATTGTCTCAAGTAACAGCACGGATCATTTTTCTCTTGCCTTCGTTCCATTATGAAATTCGAATGACTTCATGATGTGGCAATATTATTTCTCAAACCCCAAGAATCTACCAGATTCAATTGGTGAAGTTGCTTTTGCTTTCATTTACTCATTCAACCTTTGGCCTAGATATTTGAAGATTCTTGCAGTTTTGCTTGGATGAAACCCGCTATTCGAAACACAACAAATATTTACATTGTTGTGGTATTATTTCATTATGGAAAAATGAATTTTGTTAATCTACAAGTTCTTGCTCATTATTGCCTCCTTCACACCAATTTTAATGTCATTTTACTCTGACATTAGTTCAGGTTCTTGCGGGTGATGTATTGGGATGTCACGATGTACCATTTATGGGGAGGTTGGTACCTGATGCTAGAAGGTGAAGATTCCATATTCCCTTGGAATGCTTCTACTAAGAAAACCAGTCTACTCCCAAACTTTACGTTTGTTAAATGTGAAGAAGTTTGCGATTACATCTTCACCTAACTCTTTAGATTGTGTTATTATTTTACTCCCTAATCATGATGACAGTTATTTCATTAACTGTCTTCTTAAATGGTGATGAAAAATGGACTAAATGACCTAGTTTCTTTGCCATATTCATTCATAGTAGCTAATGACAATTATCCAACATTTTATCACGGGGAATTCTACTTTCTTGGTATAAAGAAGAATTTAGTGGCTTTGAGTGAAGAGAAGATATTTTTACTTGAGTGTCCTTTGTGACTTCTTTAGCCAAAACTTTCTATTAGAATGTGATGGACAGCTTCTTTATGTGTTTGTGGGTTCCTTAGGGGAATGATTCAAATTTCTACAATAAATTACATTGGGACAGATTATAAGCAACAATATTCTAAAAAATATTGAGTAAAAGTCTAGTTACACACTATGCTTATATAAAGTTTTAATAATTTTATTTTTAATAGTTAAAATTTATTAATATTTTTTTTATAAAAAAATAATTATCTTTAATAAATATAATAAAAAATTAAAAAAAATCCAAAAATCAAAAATCAAAATTTCATATAAATAGATCTTTAACTCAAAAACAATATTATCTACCTGCGCATCACACCTGTGATGCCTTGTAGTTTATACGAATAATATCAAGTTCAAATATCCCAACACAACGACCAAATTAGTGTTCATGCACTCAGTACTAAAATAACTCACTGCATCCAGTTGCAGTAGATTTCATGGCACTGGCAGTCAATGGCATTTTCCTTGCAGAGCTTTACCGCAATTCTTTCTCACAAATGGAGGAAACATTTGAGAACCCTGCACGTTACAAAAAAAGGTTAAAACAATAATATTCCATAATTAGACGAATGTCAAAAAAAACCATAATAATGCAGCAAAATATAGCCATACCCGTGAAATTCCCTGTCGGTATTCCAGGGAAAATTTTATAATAATCCACTTTATAAGTCATCCTCCAGAAGTCTCATGAAATCCCCTGGCGGTATTTCAGGGAAAATTTTAAGATATTCCGGCTTCCATATGTCATCCTCCTGACATATGTCATCCTCCTGAAATTTAAGAGAAAGAGTTGAAAGGATTCAGATAAAGGGCAGTAGAAGGAAAACATGAACTAGTCTAAAACAATTGAAAAGATGGACATAATGTGTGGCTTAGGGGCGGAATCAGGGTCCATTTGTGGGTATGTGTAGGGCTGTGATGTAATAATGCAGGAAAACATATTTTGTTGATGTACACCATGTTATGTTTAACTTCTGTTTATGCTAATTTTGTTATGAAATGCTTATGCTAATTGTCATGACTTGATCTGTACATTGCTAATTATCTAACTTACGCATAAGCAAAATCTGTCGAGCATTTCTATTGCTCTTCTAAATTCAGTAGATTGCTTTTAGCATGTATTAAAATTGACTAATAATTATATACGGCTCAGTCATAGCTTGAAGCCAGGCTCAACATTGCTTATATCATCTCATTTCAGACTAGCTAGCTTAAGAGGTGTATCAAGTGTAGCTGACATTAATCCTACTACTCCAAATTAGTAATGCAAACCTGCATATTTACCAAAAGTAGAATTTGGCTTCGTTATTTTATAGGCCTTTTGTATCTAATTAAGCTTTACAAATATCAAGAGAAAACCATCCACTGTCAGTGTAGAGCTCCGCTCTTCCATGGAGAACCACCTCCATGCTTCTGAAGGACCTCCTTCTTAATATCCTGCTTCTTGCCATACAATTTCTTTGTCTATTGATTTCTTGCTTTTCTCTTCATTTTTAATCGATCTTCTAGCAATTTATAGCTTTAAATCCCTACTTTGCCCTAATCAAAATTTCTAAAAATCTAAAAATCAAAAACCCTAAAAATCCAAAATCAAAACCAGTTTACTCCTTTGATTTCTTGCTGAAATTCGGATTGGGATCTTATGGATTCTTTTGATCTATCTTTTAGCTAACTTAAGCAGGTTGCAGGTATATTACACCTTGATGTGTAGCTGTGAGTCCTTGAATCCATCCTATGCCTTTGCTCATCTTCATCTAGATGAGAGGAACAAATTTCAAGCTTTTGAAGAGCTGTTTTCTAGCAAGGATGTGCAACAGATGAATATTAGGATCCTTGTGTGATTGGTTATGGGGTTACTTACCATGGTGTGTTCTATGTCTTTGATTTTAGTTCTATGGGTCTGTGTTTATGCTTTGCTTTACCTTTGTTTCTTTTTCTGTTTCTGTTCATGAAAGTAATTGAAAGACATTTTAAAGTTTAATGGAGTATGTCTGTTGTGTTGACCAAAATAATAATAATAATAATAATATTTAAGCTTTACTATATGTGTTTGTAAACACTTTATGCTCATCTACTTTCCAGCTACATGCAGTCTTTTGCTAAACCTTTGTTTGATGCTGAAACTTGTTCGCTATTTCAGTCATGTACAAGCTAGCTTAACTAGAATGTGTTCTCTTTCAAGAACTAACGTACATTTATAGCTATATGTGATTCCAAACTCATGTTTTAGCTTATCTAATTATTTTCTATTCTTGCGCTAAGCTTGTCCTCTGCACTACTCTGTTTTTAAATGCTAAAAACTACTGTACCAAATTGTGATGGAATACAAAACATTCTGATGGAATTTTAATCCATTTTGATTGAATATATGCCTGCTGAGGTTTCATTAGTCACAACTCATACGTTAAGGACTACTAAAGGGGGAGAACTTAAACTAGTATCACAAAATATGCCATTCTCCAATGTACTAAATTCATCTAACAATAGAGTATGTATTTATTAATCATTACCTTCATATCAACAATCTTCTCACAGTTAAAATGCATTCCTATAGAGTTATTGAGATTGAGAGAGAAAAAACAAGTGGACTAAACTAGTAGTTTCACAAAAGTTTGGGTACCTCTGCCACTGTTTGACAAACAAAAAACAAATTACGATAAAAAAAATCATGGAAAATATATGAAATTAAATGTTTATTGCATTTATTTGTAATTGCTATTATTTTATGGCTCCATCCATCTCCTCTTAGTCTTGATAGAAAATGCATAAATTAAAGATCATTGATCATAAAGAGGTATTGGAAAGAGATAGATAAAGAGTGATGTAATCAATGTACTAAATACTACTAAAAAGAAAAGACGGTTGAAAGTACCTTAAAAATCGGCTCCAATGCTTCTTTGTATTGTCTATTAACCTCTCGCTTATACTACATTAAAACAAAGATTAGTTAAATAATAAATCAAGGGAAAGGGAAGTAAAATGTATTGTTTAATATTGTCAACTGCATTTTATATATATATAGAATTACTAGTGCATGAAGAAAAGTTTTGGATAAGAAACTCATAAGAGAGATCATCAAACCTTTAAACAAACGGCTTTGAACTTCTTAGTGAACTTCTTAGTAATTCCCTCCTCCTCAAAAAATTCCTTCTTCTTTCTTCCTGTTCCTTAACCTATATTAAAACAAAGATTAGTTAAATAATAAATCAAGGGAAAGGGAAGTAAAAATGTATTGTTTAATATTGTCAACTGTATTATATATATATATATAT